TTATTTGTTTGGCAAAAAAAAAAATTTTAGAGAATGTTTTTTTAGGGCCCAAATATATTTATTTTCAGGACAACCATTAAGTAGACTATTCGAAAAATAAATATGGGTTGAGTTTGGGACTACGTCCGAATATTATAATTTCTATTCTTTTGTAAAAGAAATAAATATAGAAGAAATAAATGTCCCTGGAAAAAATGGGGTTGTTACTCTTTTACTAAGGATTGAATCATGAGGAATCCACTCTTGGAGATGTCATTAAGTCAATCTCCCGATGTGGAAGTCAAGGTGGTGTATTTACACAGAATTTACCTTCGCATTCGGCCCTTAACTTGGCCTAGGTCATTTGGTAAATCGCATCATCCATCTTTTTCGTAGGGTGGCGAGCACTATCTCAGGCTGCGATAGACAAGGGACTTTCTGGGCCGATGATAGAAAATTTCAACTGCTTTCCCAAAATAAGTTTACTCTCTGTCCCATAATATGGTTACATTCCTACTATATTGCTAACGTGACGGTTATTAAATAGTTTTTGAGATATGGAGTATAAAATATCTCTGAAGATATATAATGTTTTTTAGATCGAATAATGACTTTTGCCACTTAAATTCTTTGGAAAACAAAAAAAAAATGGTGATCACTGATGTATTGCATTTTTTACGTATTCTAACCAATGTTTTCAAAGGTTTTTCGAGTCTTTTCTATGTCTTAAGAGTCTTTTCAGATAAAAACACGTTTCGATGAAGTTTAAGGCAAATAAGTAAAGAATGCAAGCAAAAGACCAGAAAATAGTCCGAAATTTGGCACTCGTTGAAGCACACTCCACCGATGGATTGGCCTGAAAATTTGCCAAAAGCTATAGCATCGAGTTATCTTTCATCTGGAAGAAATTTGAGGTCATTCCAACGGTGCGAACCAAAGTTATGAAAGTTTTAGTGAAGATATGTTCGTTTGGCGAGCAAAAGAATCAACCGCAGAACACAGGAGCAGATCGATCGAAAGTTATTTTCAGACTTCCGGTGGACCAACGGATCGACCGGAGGACATAGGATTGACCGATCCATACCAGATCGACTGACAGATCGGCCATTCTAGCCCAAACCGACCAGAAAAAAGAAATTTGCAGTTTTTCCTACTTTGGTTGGGTTTTGTCATAGATTTTTATTCAGAACGTGATTAGACCTATATATGCTAGTTTTTAGCCATTGAGGAGGATACGCTTTATTTTTCATCAGACTTTTTGTTTCTAAG